AGCAAAATGGAGTTGTTGATGGCTTTCCATTTATGTGACGAAGTTATCAATAGCTTTCTAAATTCATGACCTAAAGTTAGTGATGACTTCCCACTCATGGGAGTGAAGTTATCGGTGACTCCCTATTCATATTAGTATAGGCTCTTAATATTTAGAAACTCATATATTTATCGGTGTAAGCTTGTATTTGCTAAAAATTAGCCAAAATTCCAATCTCCTCCCACATTTCCTTTTTAAGTATTGGCATTGGTCTTAGATGAGTCTAAATTTCGAATTACTTTACTATTCCATCCCAAGCATAATAAATTCACTCAAATAGGCATGAAACGGAACATAATAAAACTAGACTTTTATTTTTACATACATTCAATATAGTCTACCTTAAGTAAGATGAGATGACAGTGATGTTATAACTTTCCTATATGGAACTCGACTCTTACCGAGATATGTATGCAAACTAGTTTTTTTAGCGTTTCTTAGTTCTTTTCGATTGGTTAGGTGGCGACTACCGTTTTCGTGTCGCCCGCAAACCCCTATCGACAAATACTATTGGTCAATACAAATGAAGGGATTGTATTTATCTAAAATATGATAGTTCAAGATCAAAATTTATCAAATTTATAGTATAGGCCTTAATTTTCCATAACCTTAATAATTCAAAAAAAACACTCTTAGTGATATTCGTATGAGTTTCATGTAAAAAGCTCAAAATCTAGCATTTTTTTAGAAAGTATATTTTAAAGCTTTTTAGACTTTTCTTCATATTGACCAAACAACTTTAATCAAAACACCTTTTGTTTTTAACCAATAACACAATCATAATCATGCCGATTAAAACTACAACCACAACCCTTTTTGTAATACAACCTCTAAGACAAAAAATTGAGATTGTCAATGGCCTTCTTAATTAGGATAAAAACTTACATTATTAAAAGGCGTTTATTTCCAAAAAAATAAACTTTTGAAAAATATTTTTTAATGTTTTGTAAATTTTGAAAAAATTATGAATAAAAAAAATCAATATAAAATAACTTATAGTTAAACTTAAAACACCATTTAAATTTTGAAAAATAACTTTTCTCAAAATTTTAAATCTTTTATAATCATTACCTAAAAAACTAAAGTAAAATGTTCATTCACTATAGTTGTACTATTTAAAACACTCGTGCACACACTCACATGTCACTATTCACATCTTACATTTCACCGTGCGTTTCACTATTTATGGTTTTTTTTATGCTTTGGTCCTTGATATTTTCGAACGTATATTTCGATCCATATGTTCATTTGCTCATCTATTTTGGTCCCTAGGTGGAGAGAGAAGGTTGAGAGGAAGAGAGAGATGAGAGTAGAGAGAGATCGTCGGCCAAGCTTATTTAGGCCACTCGGCCGACGAAAATCCACTAGATTTTTTTTTATTTTATATCTTTTAGAGATGAGTTTATCCATGGTGGTTTTAAGCCATTAAACAATTATAGGAGGTAGATTGGAGCCAAAAAAGAAAAAAAATCCAATTTGATTTTGTATTTTTCTTTATTTTTATGTGTACTAAAATGATTTTTAAGGTTTTAGATGTTTTTATTGGCTTTATTCCGATCATTTAGAGGTGTTTAGGGAAAAAATGATCCCGAAATTCAATTTCTAGTGGGTCCGAAATTTGACCTTCGATTTTTTGATGAATGATTTTTTGATGAATCTTCCGACATCTTCGAGTTCATTCGAAGTTGCAGGATTTATTTATTTATTTTTTTTGTTGGTTGAGCCGAATGCAAGGCCTCGCATGCGTGGGCTTACTCGCACAGTGCCAACCACACATGGCCTCCCTTTTTTTTTTTTTTTTTTTTATAATTTATATGTGCAACCTGGTTGCACAAGCCAACTAGGCACTTTTTTTCTTCCCCCCTCTCTCTCTCTCTCTCTCTCTCTCTCTCTCTCTCTCTCTCTCTCTCTCTCTCTCTCTATATATATATATATATATATATATATATATATATATATATGAAGAAAAAAGTTTAAGAAAAAGATCTGCCAAACAAAAAATAATATGAAAAATATAAAAACTAAATCGTTTTTTAGCTTTTCGTACAGCTTTAAAGATGATAGAATATATATATATATATATTACTTTTGTCGTTTAAATTTAATTTTTTAATTATTTATTTCTTATTAAAATTCATACCAAAATAATTTTTTTAATATAATTTTATTTGTTAATAATTTTATTTTTTAATATATGAATTTTAAGATGGAAATTTAAGAACGTCAATGTTTTATTTTTTTTAATCTTATGTTCAAACTAAAATCTAAAAAATATTATGAAAAAGAGGTTTTGGTTTATTTTATTTTGGTATACTTAATTGGTACTCACATCAATAAACTTGTAAAATCTAATTATTGAGCCTACATAAATAAACAAGTTTTAAAAAAACCACTCTCTAGCATAAAGTCTTTTATTTTATGCATTAAAAAAAACATGGTTGCGCATTTCTACTTTCGTTTTCTCATACGTATTAAACACCAACAAATAATTTTTAGTTTAAATAACCAAACATTGAAAAATAACTTATTTTTGGAAAATATTTTTTGTCAAGTATTTTTCTAAATGCAAATTATTTTCCGACAACAATGTGGACCCCCTTATTGCTAAAGAAAACTAGGAGGATAAACTATAAAGTGGACAAAAACTTTCTCACTTTCGTCTTACTCGTCCAATTCAATGTCTTACTATTTTTAGGGGGTGAAAAGGCAAGTGGGCTGCAGGGATGAGAGATGTAAATCATCACAAAAATGAATCTTACTCTTTCACATGTAGTGCGCATAAATAAATTCCTTGCTCTTTCAATCTGATAAAAGAGAAGACAGCATAAAAAATTAAGCTCAAAAACCTTGATATAAAAGGGTTTGCCATAAAAATTGGCTTTTCCTGACAGATTTTATGACGTCTTGTAGGCCTTCTCCTGAGGGATTTGACACAATCCCGCAAATTTAGAATGTGGTTGAATTCAAGCTGGCTTGTTTTGGAGCCTTCCTGAACAGCCTCATTAATAACATTTGTTGTTTCTTCATTTCTTGATAATTGGTAGTCTTGATACCTTCTTTGTTTTTTTCTTCTTCAGAAGTTGGACTGGCTGATAAAGTATCCTTAGAGGACATTGGTAGTCAAATAAACACTCACTTTGTCATTTGCTATGCCAATTAGATATGTGGGCTCTCGACTAAATTTTAGTTTCTCTTGAACTAGCTAGGAGAGAATGCTTGATATCTATTATAAATAAATGTTGGCTATGTATATTCGATTTTACACATTAGCTGATTTCAGGACATATCTTACATTCATATATATATATATATATATATATATAAGATCATCACTTGAACTCTCCAAAAACAACCGAGTTACCATGTTGACCATATTTAACAACTTCATTTCTTGATGTTTAACGTTGGAAAGAGAAGGAGGGATTATGGATGTCTATTTTCAGAGGATCCCACTTTCAAAAATCTGAAATTAGTCTGAGATCGGACGATTCCAAATATGTGTTGCTTAATTGTTTGAGAGTGAGTATTTTTTGATGGGTTAATTTAGCATTAATAAGTGCTAGATTTTGTGATACACGTAGAGAGAGAAGTATGGACCCTCCTCTCCATACTTCACATGTTGCCCACTCACATCTACATCCAAACCATTTAATGGATGGGCCACACTTTAGATGGGACATTACCAAGATTAATTGGCAATCGAACCCTTTAAACAGTTTTAACTACCTTGTTTTTCTTTTAGCAAATCTCAATGTGGCTCACAAATCGATTGGTCTAGGAGTCAATGTGAAATTATGTAGAGATCAAATCAATCATATAGTAATGAAAATCACTCTCAAAAGGTTCATTTTGAGAAATTTTTCTCAAATATCATGATGGAATTTTTGAATTTTATTGTTTTACTTCCAAGGTAAACCTCTCAGGTCTTAACCACTCCAAGAGCAAAAGAATACAAACGACCACATTGTTTTTTCCAATATATGAAAGAACATACACCCAAGGATCATTTTTATTTTTATTTTTTTTAAAGAGGCAAACGGGCTGGAAACAATAGCATTAGGTATGCGCCTCATAGCGAGGTGAATTGTCCTTCAGCAAAAGGGCAAGTAGACAATTTACCATTTCTTTAGTCGAAGCACTTTCCAATCCTAAAAAACCCACTACAGAGATGGAAGGAAAAGAAGTCTAAAACAACCTCACTTTCCAATGAAAGCCACAACCCACATGATCTTGCTTGGGGATGTAGAAAGATCGCAAGCCCTCTCTCAAAAGAACATTTCTCTATGCCCTAAACCATGCCAACCTCTTTCAACATTACCCCACCTAATAGTTTCTCCACCTAATCTTTGTGGCTGATTCTTGACAAATGTCAAATCTTGATTGACACACATGTCTTGGATCCTCCCCTCGCAGAAGGGTCTTGTCGTAGCTTACTTGGCAGTCCCAATCGTGTACTAACATGTGTTGCCCTTACCCATGAGCCTCCCAACCTTGCAAACGCAACCCAAATTATCGAACTTGGTGAATGTAAGGGGGATGGGAGGGTCCCCATATGATGGATCCAAAAGACAAAGTACAGAGTGAGGTGCAATTATTAATGCCATGAATTTCATCCTAAGCAAGTGAGCAAAATTCCCCTCCCCCACAAACAGAGAAAAGCAGAGAAAAAGGAAGCAAATAAGAGCTATAAGAGGGACTACTATATAATAATAATAATAATAAAAAAATCCGTTGGTACAAAATTCTCTTTAAGTGACTGATTGCCACTGTTATTGTGTTAGATAGCCAAAAGAAAAGAAAAAGACCCTTCTCTTTCACCTTTCTCTATCTCTATCTTTCTCTTCATATATCGATCTCCCTCAATTTCTGCGAAGCTCTCTCCCTTCTGATTCTCTCTCTCGAATATGATGGACTCATAGCTAGAGAGAGGCAGTTGTAAAATCACACACAAAGTACCGGCCATGAAGAACACCCTAAGGTGTTGTATATCTTGCATTCTACCATGTGGAGCTCTTGATGTGATTCGAATAGTGCACTCTACTGGTCGTGTAGAAGAGATCAGTGGCACGATCCGTGCTAGCGAGGTCATGAAAGCATATCCAAAACATATCTTGAAAAAGCCCTCCTCACCGTCTGATGATGGGGTTGTTCCACAGATTGTTATAGTCCCACCAGATGCAGAGCTACAACGTGGAAAGATTTATTTTTTGATGCCAGCTCCACCAACACCAGAAACCAAGAGTTCTCGATCATCAAGAGGTTCAGGTACGAGAAAGAAAAGTAGAGAGATTAGTAGTAATAGCAGAAGTGAAAGCAACAACTCCAGCCATCACTTAACCAACTCCATTTCAATGACAACAAACCTTCTCATTTCTGATCAGTATTTGAGTGAGATTCTATCAGAAAAGGTATCAACACAGAGAGATCGAAGAAGAGGCCGAGTTGGTGTGTGGAGACCTCATTTAGAAAGCATATCAGAGGCACCATACGATGCATAAAAGAGGGCTAATCTCAAGTTATATTGAAATCTTGTTTACTTTTTTTCTTCTTTGTGATTCATTTTAGAGGTTCTATTAATTTTCTTTAGGGTTCCTCAAGAACTTCCTTCTTATTCAAATTTCATTTTCTTCGAATTTGCTTCTTTTTAGTGTATATAGAGGCATGTAGAGAAAAAAGCAAAAATAATGCAAAAGTTGGGAACAGGCGCAATTTGGAAACTGTGGAGAGATATTGTTGATTATCCTGAACAGTTGTGGTGGGATCTTAATTGGTATCATCATATAATTAAAGGCTGTATGTAATTGCTTTGAGCTTCATCGAAGTTTGGTTTTCAAGAAGTACAGAAGATATTTATGGAAGCTAATAATTTTGTAATCTTGGGAGAGAGAAGAGTAAAGAAGTGCAAGCAAATTTTTTTTTTTTTTTTTTTCAGTTCAGTTTTGCTGCTGTTGATAGATAGAGATCCCACTTCTACTGTGCAGTATTACCCGGCATTGTACCAATTAAATTTGGAAAATGATAGTTTATATATATATATTACACTACAATTGGAATTCTTTAGTTACAATTCTGCCCATTATTTTGTTACATTGTTCTTTTCTTCAATCAATATTGACAAAGGAAAATGTAGGTGGAGCTCAAATTGGTCTAGCTTCCAACAGTTTTTTAGGTTTTTTGGGTGACATGTGGCTTGCATCATTCTTCATAAGTGGACATAAAGCAATAATGCAATATGGAATAGGAGTATTGATTATTTTTCTTTCTAGAGCCGAAAAAACAAACATAATATACTATCATTAGAGATAATAAATTAATAATGTCACGACGCCATCCATAAATAATGCTATTGTGCTATAAGAATTAAACATGTTATAATGTTACCGATTTAAAAATTGCCTGATTTACCTGTGCTAAACTGCATATGCAACATATAATAAAAAATAATTAATTATCTTAATTGCAATTAATTCCAATTCTCCAAACACTCGTGTGTCGTGATCTTTTAATGAAAAGTAGCCAATTTTCATCCATGAATCCAGGGATTTACCATACAAAACATATTCCTCTTCTGTGTTACTGACTGACTTGTTGGACCCTATTATTAAGTCATCAAATGAAAAAGGGAGTGCAGTGCTTGCTTAAACAAGAAGGTGTTGAAATATTGATCTTAGGTCACGGCTCCTGATCATCAATGGAACCAAACTATTTATGTCAGTTCGTTGAGATAATCTGCCGAAGATTTTGTTTTCTATTGTCAAATATGTGGGTAGAGGCCTAGAGCTAGCCCATCAGTTTTGATAGAGGTCATACCCATTGTGCACATTCTCCAAGCATAATCAACAGAATTGATTAGATGATCAAAGTGACTTTGAGGTGGATGGAATCATAGTCCCCACGAAACTTTCCACCATAGAATAATTAATAATGCACTTCTATCTAGCTTGCACTAACAAGTGGGCTGGCTAGCTGGGGCATGTCTTTAAGCATTTTGTTCTCTTAGAGATGATGATGGTGATTAGATGGTGCCAAACAGCATCTGTAAAGGTTATTTACAGTAGATTTTGACCATTGTATTCGCTGGATAGCCTTTGAGCAAGCCCATGTTCAAAATCCTATACAAATATTTTGCTAGTCCCACCATCTGGGACCAACGAAAAGGTGACAAAACCTTGATATAATTGGAATGCCATCTGATTCAAAATGATGCCAATCCATGGCTTGTCAGAGTGGCGGAGAGTCAGCTCAAGCCGTATATTCATTTGATCATACAACAACATTTGTTATGCTATTTGTTTCCTTCCTCTTTTGTTCGGTTATGTAATTTCTTGAGTTAAAAACAAGCTAGTCCTCTAAATATCCCAGCTCAATTTGAACCTCAGAAGTTACAAAACATTAATTTGACCTCTAAATTATTCAATATGTTATCTCCTTCATCTATGGTATAATTGATAAAAAGGGTTAACTTCATTTATCAGAAAAACGAAAAAAGAGGTTAGTTTCAATTTACTCCTAAAGTCAAATTTTCCTTTGGAGGTTCCAATTGAATAGATGACCTCCTTGACTTTTCAATAATGAATCAAATTTACCTCTTCCATCGTGAAATATTACCCAAACTAACTGAAAAAAGTATTTTCGACACCTAAACTTTTGAATTTGACCATACGAAATCCTATTAAAATAATCTAGTGAAATGAAATTTTTATTTCTAGTTAAAAGACGCAAATGATGCGCATGACATCATTGCATCATTTGCTCCTTTTAATTGAAAGTAAAAGATTTTATTTCATTAAATTATTTTCAAAAGTTTAGCGACAGAAAATATTTTATTAGTTAGTTTGGATCAGAATTCCCGGCAAAAGAGATAAATTGATTCACTGTTGAAATGTGACAGAGAACATTGATACAATCAAAACCTATGAAGAAAAGGATGAACTCGTTATAAATGTAAGGGATCCTTGATAAAAACTATATAAAGACTTCTGCAAACATGCAAAGTTGTGCTAGAACTTTTGCAACATAAGAAAGGTACTAATTAAAGCAAAACTGAGACATATGATCATAGTACATCTTCTAATCTCTCTATTAAAGTTGATCTAGGTGGATTTAAGTCTTCTAACATAATAGAAAAACTGGACTGAAAATCTTTACTTCAAATTCAAACATTGTAAATCAAACTAATAATATTCTGATTTCAAGTTCATTTTTCACTTTTGATTCTCTCTTATTTCTAATCATTGTCAAAGTCAATTGGTCGAATGAATTAACCTAAAAATCCGATGAATTAGGCTTTGATCACGTAGAGCTTTTAATTAAAGTCAACAAGTTATTGGCACAATCAAATCCAATTCATCCTATTAACATGGATGATCCGGTCATTTATTCAATCAAAATCCAACTAGATTAAAAAAAATGAACTTTAATATTTTTTTATTAAAAAATAAAAAAACAGAACTATGAATTAAATTGGTAAATCACGAGTTGATGTGAGTACTTGATTGCATTCGATACCAAATACTTGATTAGATTTGATATCCAATTAGGCTCAATAATTATCATAACCCAAATTTTGGGTTATATATTCCTCCAATTTTATCCTTTTTCATTTTGTTTATCCTTTATTGTTGTCTTTTATTTTAGTTTATTTAATTTCAGCATTTTCTATTAAAAAAAAGAGAAAAAGAATAAACAATACAATATATATACAAAAATATAAAAATTGCATGACATAATTTATTAAGGGCATGATTGAATAAAATCAAGACTAAAATTGAAACAATTGAAAATCCTATGACTCGAAATTAAAAGATACTAAGAACAATTAAGGTTATCAAAATTGCATGTCAAAAGGGTATGATTGTGAACAATTGAAAGGCGCAAGGACTCGAATTAAAACCGAGGAGCAAACGACAAGACCAAAGTCGAGCAAACGATCTACCGTTCGCCTCGACCTAGAATCAATTCCTTGGTTTGTTCATCGTCTTTTACTTGGAGACAAATTTAGCCAAATTTTCTTATTTGATCTTTGTAATTCTTGGCCGGCAATTGTACCAATCAAGAATCACACTTCAAGTTTGCACCACTACATCTCCGCACCTATCACAATACGCCTCTACACACCCCCGCACACACATTGATTTTGTTTTTTAATTTTTTTCTTGTTTCGTTCATAAATGGCAAAATCCAATACTTGGATTTGATTTATAATGAGCAAGGGTCCAGATTGTTTAGGAATTATCGTAGGGTAGGAAATGATTTAAGGTTTGGCTATAAATCGAGCCTTCTTTGGAGGAATAAAAGGGGATGGGAGATCGAAAGGAGAGAGGAAATCACGGGGAGGATTCTAAGGAAAAACCTTTTTTTCCTTCGAATTTTGGGTTGTCGAGGGTAGAATTAAGGGCCCCAAATACATTTTTATGACAATCCTAATCCGCTCGCAGCATTAAAAGAGAGAGATTAGGAGGAGGAGAATATAAGGATTTTTGGGTTTTGAGTTCTTGGTCTTAAGGAAGAATACCCTAGTTTCGGGCAAAAACACCAATTCTCCTTGGGTTTATACCCCCATTCGGTCTATAATCCCTCGATTTCTAATCTTAGGTGTGTTTCAAGAAATTCCTAAGCCTTGAAATCAACAACAATAAGTCTAGTCTTTGGGTCACTATACTCTAGTCACCCGCCAAACATAATCCCACTAATATCCAGCATTTTGATCCATCCTAGCACTTCAAGAAATTTCCCATTTGTTCAACACCAACAAAAAACTTAGGTTTCGGAAACCATACGAAAACCCCATCCTCATCCATCAAACCTACAAAGTAACACTCATCCCTTTCCCGCAACCTAGGTTAGTTTTTTAGTTTTTAGTTTTCAATTCTTTCTAGCACTATCATTTGTTTCCTTGTTATTTAGTTCAAAATTCCAATTCATTAATGGGGTTTAGATTAGGAGAACTCCAATTGGTTCTCCGTAGTGTGCCTTAGTCCAAGACTTGGCATTTGTGTTTTGCGAAAGAAGCAAAGAAAGGGAAATGAGAAAGAAAAAAGAGAATGAACAAAAAGGAAAAAGAAAAAGAAAAACAGAGAAAAAAAAAGGAAAATTAGGCTAGAAAAGGGAAAGAAGAGAAAAAGGTTCCAAAATGCCATCTCATTGGGCTAAAATGGCCCAATAACGCTAGTTTTTGTCAATTCTTTAGGTAAATCAGTCTTGAATTTTTTTTTTTACATGTCTTTTATTTTATGCTTAATTTAGGCTTAATATTTTGAATTTCTTGAATTTTTTAGTTAATTTTAGTATTTTTTCAATAAATTAAATTAGGTAATTAATAGGTGGATAAATTGTCGAGCCTCATAATTTTTAGGGACCAAAGTCGATTTCCCACCAACCCAAAAAAAAATACAAAAAGAAAAAATAAAGAAATGCTATGAACAATTTTTTTAAAAAAAAAGAAAAAGAAAAAGAAATGTTAGGGAAAAGATTAAAAAAAAAGAAAGAAAGAAAAGCA